AAAAAAATTATATATGTTTTTTTTTAACTTTCTAGTTTTTTATTTGCCTTATATTTTTTTTTTTTTTTTTTTTTTTTCCTTTTTTTTTTTATCTAGTTTTTATAGTTTCATAGTTTTATCAATTCTGGAATAAAAAAAAAAAAATAAGATATAAAAAAAAAACAAATAGTATAATAGTATAGAACGGCTCTTTTACCATTTCTTTCTTTTCAACTCCTCCCCTTTTTAGAATCAAAAAACTTTCTTACATAGTTAACTAAAAACCGGTTTAAGATCCCTTTGTCCATATTCTTTAATTAAATAATGTCTACCGGTGCGTCTACACCGTCCGTGGAAATATCACCAAACTCTTCAGTAACGTCAATAGAAAATTTCGAGAAGGAAGAACCACGACGGTGTAATAACAATAATGATAGTCCAAGTGGAATTCCTGTTTCTGAGCCCAGTGAGCCCAGTGAACTCAGTGAACCCAGTGAACTCAGTGAAGACCATTCACAACAGCCACAACAATTTCAGTCTCAGTCACCACCACAGCCACTTGTAAAAGAACAACCGGTCGACCAACAACAACGTTCGTCTCCTCCAAAAAAACCTTCTCATGCTAAAAAGTTAGTAGATAAGTTTGCCACATTTTCCCCGATGAGGAATAAAGGATCCGATCGAAAATTAATAGTAGAAACTGCTTATAGCAACTATAACGTAAAGAAAGAGGTAGAATATTTATTGAATATATATATTTTTTTTTTGGAAGAATTTTTTTTCGGCGTTATTATATATAATATATAAGATATAATATATAATATATATATTATTTTTTATTTTTTTTCAAAAATTCATTTTTAGCTTAGAATTTATTTTTTAAATTTATTAAATATATATATATATATCTTTTTATTGCCTATATTTAACCCTATATTCCTATTACTATACCTATAGTCTGACCAACGGCCGAAAGTGGTCGACCAGAAAACTCAAAAGAAGAAAAAGCGTATCACCGAAGGTGGGCGATTTTACATTTTCTGGTGACAATCTTGGGTTTTTATTTTATGCGTTATATAATACCTTCATATGTATGTTGTTTCTTAACTAAATTTTTCATGCAATCTAATCATTAGGAATGTCAAAAGCTGATATATTTGCTGCAAGTGTGGCTAGTGCTGTTGATGCTGCTGATGGTATGTCTGATTTTTTTGTTTTTTATATCCTTGCATATATATATTATTATATTTTATATTGTTATATTTTATATTATATTTTATACTATGTTTCATATTTACATTATTCACATTATTTACATTATTATTTGTTTTTTTCAAAAAGGCGCTGATGAAGAGGAGGTATATTATACCTATGGTACTAGTAATTCTCGTACTCCCTCTTTGACTAGTCTAAATGGCATGGCTGCTCCCTTATCAAATCCAAATTTCTTACAAGACAATCATAACCTTGCCCAACAATTCCAAATCCCACCTAATATATATCATTTTTCTACTCCTACCCCTTATCGCACATATAACACTTTTCCTCATCGTTCTCATTTTCCTACTGGATTTTATAATAACACTCCGGCTCCGGAATCTGTTGATATAATGCCTAATCATTTAAAAAATGATTCCCCAAATGATAAAAGTAGTAATAAGCCAACCGGTGTAATGCGTTCTTCATTACCCGATATGTCTCAATATGTACAAGGTTTACCAAATTACGATACTTCTAATTACCTATATAATTATAATAATAATTGGTATGTTAATGATGAACGATTACCACTATTTCATCAAAAAATTCGTCCTCCAAATTATGAAACTCGTCAGAGGTATTTATATTATCATTTTATCTTTTCAATTCAACATACTTAATATAATTAACATAATTAACACACTCAATACATTTAACTTTTGTTTAGACAATCGTGTGCTCCAACGATATCTACTCTGACCGTAATAATCATCTTTCTTCTGGCTTCATCTTATTTGTTATACCTTGCATCAACATGTCCTTTATCAGACGTAACAATCAAAGACATAACGAATGTTCTTGCTGCTGATAAAGAATTAATGTTTGATATTCAAGTAAAAGGTCGTAATTTCGGTTTATTGGATGTAGAAATTATCGATACCGATCTTAACGTATTTGCAACTCCTATTCCTTCTGGAATTCCTGGAATTCCTGGTGGTCCTGGAAGTCATTGGGATGATGATATTACGACAAATCCTTTATCTATTCATGAATCGGCTCCTAATGAATTTTTGGGTACTATACTGGTTTTTGATGAACCTTTGATCTTTCCTTCAGGAATTAATCGTACTGGTGTGATTAGTAATCCTACTGGTCAAGTTAGATTGAAAAATCCTGGTGGTGATGATAAAGCAAGTCAAGAGCGATGGTATGTCATAATATATTATTTCTTATAATATTTATTGTTATAATATTTATTAT